GGTACATAGTACTAACAGGGTGCCAGAGGCACCACTGCCCTCTAGTGGCCATGCATTAGCAGAGGGTCTGCGGGTCATCACCTACCTCCGCAGTTGTTTGGAGCTCAGGAAGCAAGAGCAGGCATTGGTCCATACTCTCCTTTTCCACAGGATGGTGGTTTGGCACCTGTGGCACATCCAACCTCAATGGCATCTACTACCCAGCCAGCCAGCACAAGCGGAAGATCAATGGCATCCGCTGGGACCACACCTCCAGCGACTCTATGTCCTCTCTCCGCTCCTCCCGCATGATGATGCGGCCATTCCACAGCTAGGGAGTGCCCTGAAGACCCCAGTCTATGTTGTCTATCCTGAGAATAAGGTCAGCGAGACCATCTGTACCATACAGGCTACAGAAGGTCAGGAGACATGCACGTGCCACCTGTGAAGACAGTAGGTACTCAGTTCATGATGATAGTGCTGGTGAATCTTGGGAGATGAACTTTCTACTGAGAAAATATTCCAGTCTGATGTCACACAAGGCCCTGACTCTGTGATGTTCTTACCTCTTCTGACTTGGCTGACAAGGTCATTTGGAGGACCCCAGGTTGCAAATATAGAATGTCTTACCTGGTATGTGTTTGTGGTCTAGTGATTCCATTTCTGTATGAAGGTGGATCTATGATGGCTGCAGTGTGAATGGATGGTATAAGTATGTGTGTACACTGGTGATGTATCTGTAAAGTGACAGCTCTTTGGGGCCAAAACTTGTGGGGCTTCATTTCATGCCCTATGTGCACAGCAGGCAGTAAACCCTGAGGCAGATGCAGTGTGGGGGACATGTTTGGGACACACTCTGTCATCCTCCTGTGTGCCCCGCTGCTTACACAGACTTTGGGGTGAATCAGCACCCTCCCTCCTCAGCATATTGGCAGCATCTGGTGGGACAGAACTTCTTGAGGTTTGTTGACTTTGCTGGACTGCTTTTAGTTTTGAAAGTGTAATGAGTGATTTCTTTCATTTAGCTCTTCTTTTCCCCATAATTTTATTGAGAGACAAATAGAAATGAGACAGCTTCAAATCAAATTGATAGGACAATTTCAATAATTAACACATTGCATACTCTCTTCCTAGTTGTTATTTGCTGTACAAGATGCAGACGTGATATCCTATTTACAAACACTATTAGAACAAATCCCTCTATTCATTAAGAGAATGTAACTATATATCTATCCTAACCATTTTGAATACACAGATACAAAATGGACATTCATCTGTATCCCCTTTTTTTGTTTAGTTCTGTCATTTGAATATTATAGGTGTGTGAACTCAGCAAAATATTCTAAGAGTCCAGTAGCCTATAATAGTGTTGGGTTTTCCGCTTGACTGGCAGTGTCAGAAAATGTTGACCTGAATCCCCTACAGCTCAACATAACATCATGGCTTTACTTCTTATACTTTGTTTTTATACTTTTCTGCTGGATGGTTAAGAACAAGATAAAGCAAGACCTATGCAACAAGAGTTGTAGCTTTTGTATCTGATAAGGTCAGTCAAATCCACTCAGGATTTATCCTGAGATTGTGTACCTCAGATTGTAGATCCTTTGTCAGTGTCAGCCATGTGGATGAGTCACGGCCATTGCTTGGCCAATGTGCTCTCTGTGAAATCCTGAGAGAATGTTTTCTCTCCATGTGACTCTCCTTAGGCACACTACATCATCAGTCACTTTCTTCTTTGGCCCCATAATCTCCTTGATCAGAAAATTTGGGACACTACTGAGTTACATGACGTTATAGTACAAGTTCTCATATGTCCTGAGTCTTAATTGACCTTGGAAGGCTAGGGCCAAAATGTTGGCTTTCCTTGTGACCCTCCTTTTTCTCTAATTTTGGTCTGCAAACTTAGGTTGTTAACCCTCCAAAAGAGAAGCTTATTGTTATTATCATACAAACTAGGCTGTTAAGCTTAACCTCACTATCTGTCTCATTTAGCTCTTACGAATCAAAGTCACTCATGCGATATTTCAAATTTTAAGAATTTAAACATTCTTATATTATTTTAATAGTTCGTATATATGAATTAATAAATTCTTAAATAGGGGAAAGGATTCACTTTGCTCCCAGATTATGCAGGCTTCCATCTGCTGTCCTCTGGATGCATGTCAAGGTGCATGGCAGAGGGCAGCCTTTCAGGCTGGTGTAAGACAGCTAAAGCAGGAAGGGCACAGAGGGAGGAACGCGAAAGCAAGCCTCCTCCTCTCCCTCCTCCATATACAGGGTGCTCTCTCTAGGGTGTGGGGAGCACTCACATCCTCAGTGCCAGAGCCAGACAATGAACTAATCGAAACTAGATTTAGCCACCTTCAAGAAGCTCATGCCCAAGATTGTGTGACAATTTAGGGGTCCACTCAGAAAGAAGCTATAACATTCCTCCCCTGGCCCTCAAAGGATCATACACATCACTTTATATAAAATGCCTTCAGTCCATCTCTAAGAGTTGCCAAAGCCCTAACAGTTTCCTCTGAGACAGTGAAAAGTCTAAGTCACCAGCCTCCTCTGAGACATAAGGCAAACTTAACTCTTAGCTTTACAAATGCAGGCACAAGACAAGCATTTCCCTTCCAAAAGTTAAAAACGGAGAAACAAAGCAATGGGACCAAAGCAAGTCCAAAATTGATCACGGCAAACATTAAATCCTATAGTTCCATGTGCAGCATCCAAGACAATCTATAGCAAGATCTACTTCAAGGCCTTAGGGTGGTTCCACTCCTATGCATTTCTGGTGGTTTAGGCCCCAGGGCTTCTGTCTTAATTGCTTTGTTCTGTCCTTACAACTTTCCTTAGATGATCCATAATCCTGGCTTTTCCAAACTTCTGGGATTTCCCCTGCACTTTGGGCTTCATATTTGCAACTTCACACACTTCCCTCCAGGGGCACACTGCCTGGCCTCGCAGACCTTGTGAATGCTGGTTGGGACCCATGTGAAACCCACAACTCTTGCATTCTGCAACTGTCTGAAAAAAGCACCCCAGAGACCATGCCAAGTGCTGGTGCCAGCTGGAGCAGTAGTCAGGCTCTCCTCTCTCCTGGCTGTAGGTTGGAGTGCCTGCCTTGCTGTGCACTCTGAATCTAATTCTGAGGATCTCTGGAACTTGGTTCTCTGTAGGTTACTCTACAGAGAAAACATTTTTACTTTTGGAGTGTTGAGGCTGCAAAGGGTGAGGCTTGCTGCTTCCTGTGATGCCCCCAGGTCATCATTTACAGTCTCCTGTTCCTTTTCAGCAATGGAGATTTCCCCAGTTCTATCTCTGTTGTCCACAGCTTTATCAAGGCTTCCTTTGTGACTAACTTCACAATGTTTTTAATTGTGCTGGGCTCCCTACTTTTGATTCTCAACATAGATCTCACTCAAAGCTCCCTACAGCAGCCATGTAACTGCCTCAACAGTTGACTCCCTTGACATTTCCCCTGAGAGAATAATTCGTCTGCAACCCTTCATTTTAGCCTCAGGCAAAGTCTCAGGGCATGAGCAAAATGCAGCCAAGAATTTTCCCAATCTGCACTACACACTCTCTGGAGGTCAACAGCTAGTGCAGTCCTTCTTCCCAGCAGAAACCTCTGATCCTTACCTGCAGGATTTCCATCACCCTTCTGTTCTCCTGAGCTCTGACCAGAGTCTCCCATACAGACCACTCTAAGGCCTTCCTGCTCTGTTCTTCCAGATGACATCCTAAATCTGCCCAAACTCTTCTCAAAAGCCATTTCCAAAGGCTCTTGAACCCCGGAGTCAGGTATAGTCCCAGCACCCACTCCACTTCTCTGGTCCCAAATTCTGTCTTAGTTGCATTCCTCTCATAGCTGAGCAAAGTGTCCAACACACAGTTTTAGAGGGGGAAAGGTTTATGTAGCTGTCACTGTGAGGTGGTTTCACTCTGTAGTCAGCTGTCTTCAAGGCAGAGTGGTAGGCATAGCAGAGGGGCTGCAGTTCAGGGTGACAGAACTGCAAAAGCCACGATTATAAAAAGAGAGAACATTTATTCATTGAAATACAGTGCTTTATGTATTTATTTATTTTTTGGCTGTTTATAAAACAGATTCTTTTTTTTTTTTTTTTTTTGTATTTTAGGGGAGAGTCAACAGGGTGTTCAGGGCCTCACTACTAGATCAGACTCATAGTGATC